AAAAATTAAACTACCAGTCCTTCACCATCTTAAACGAAATATGCAGAATGCCTGCACAGCTGGAATGCCAAGCCACCGGAACGGCGCAAGACAATGCGCTGAAGAGCGCCATTTCCCTTCTGAATGTAAACGTTGCCAGGAGTGGCACAAGAGTCCAATGGTAATCACGAGAGGCAGGATGAGTGATCCCGATCAGGGCCGAACAACAAGAGAAGCCGAGTGGACGATGAAAGAGGGATTTCATCTTGAAGCCATCACTTGCTCTCACCTGAAAGGCTTTCTTTTCGATTCGATAGTCTCTGGTGACCCGGAAGATGTAAACGCGGCCCAGGCAGCTCGAGCTACCGACGTGCTCGCCCAGAGCCGGTGCGCCCACGGCGAAGTCCTCGATGCCGTCGCCGTCGACGTCGCCGACACGTGCCACCGAGTAGCCGAACAGCTCGCCAGGCCGCGAGCCGGTCACCGAGTCGAGCCGACCTCCGGCGCCGGGGCAGTAGAGCTGAACTCGGCCGGTGTTGGCGCCCAACTGGGGCGGCGAGAAGTAGGGCGAGCCGATGACGGTGCAGTCGCCCGGCGGATGTCGACTGGCAGGCACGGCTGTCGGCCGGACCTCGGCCAGCCCGTCCGCCGGCGAGTCCTGCGGGCCGGGCCGGAGGGCGGCGATGGCGAGTCCGAAGCCCGCGAATTCGCCAGGCTCGGCAGCGACGTGAAAAGCGGCCGGCCGTGACGCCCCCGCCGCCTCCGAGTAGACCCGGAAGCCGGTCAGGCTGGCGGCCAACTCGCCGGTCGGCAGCGGCGCCGAGACCAGAGCAAGCGGCTCCGAGGCCATCCAGGCGAGCGACGAGCCGAAACCGGCCGTCCGGCCGACCAGCTCGGCGAGAAGGCCGGTCGCGCCGAGCAGGTCGCCGAGCAACTGGACCCGGCCGGTCGGCTGGGCGAACGGCATTCCCACCAGCAGATGGACGTTGGGACGAAGGCCGACGTCGGTGCCGACCGACTCCTCGGGCGCCAGGCGCAATTGGACAGCGTATCCGGCGCCGCAGGGCCGAGCCCCGCCCCCGGCACCGGCGCCAGTGCCGGCGCCGGCCGAGCAGAAGTTGAGGTAGCCGTCGGCCTCGCCGTGGCCCGGCGGCGTCGTCCAGCCGACCTCCTGGCGCAGACGGACTCGGCAACGCCCGCTAGGCTGCACCTGGCCGGGCTCCGCGGCCGACGGGCCGATGCGCGCCCGCGAGTGCCAGAGCGGGTCGCAGTAGACGAGCACCGCCTCGGCGCCAGCCGGCGCCGAGGCGGCGGGCAGTTGGAGGCTGTCGAGGCCGGTGGGGCCGAGCAGGCCGGCCGCCTCGGTCGAGTTGCCGCCCGTCCAGCCCGCCTCCAGCGCCTCGCAGGCGTCGGCCCCGCCGGCCAGCGCGAAGCCGGCTGGCGCGCCCGGCTCCGCTCGGAGCCGGCAGGCGACCAGTCCGCCGGCGAGTGTGGCGAAGGCGTGCGCCTCCGCGAGGCCGGCCGAGGCGAGCCGGCCGCGCGGAGCTGCGCCGCCCACCACCAGCCAGGCCTCGACGGGCCCATCGCCCCTTTTCATGTGGAACGCGGTCACTGTGGACCACTTGAAGGCGGCGGCCACTGCGCTCGACGCCGCGTCCGGGGCCTGTCGCCGGAGGCGGGCCGCGATTAGACGGGCAAAGTCGATGTCGCGGGTGAAGTCGGGCGTCGCGACGCCGCGGAATCCGCCTCGCGGAGGCACCGCGTCCAGCGCCTCCGTGGACAGAGCGTCCGAGTGCGGCGACCAGAAACCGGGCAAGAGATGAGTCGAGACCGAGCAAGTGGCGAGGCAGAGGAGGGCGAGGGCTCGAGTGCAAAGGGTCATTGTCGGACGGAAGTAGGGAGGCAAGCCGAAGAGGAAGACGCCGGCGATGACGACAGACGTGGAAAAAACAAGAGCCAGTCCGGAAGTCGAGACCGCCGACTGGGTCGCGCCTCCGCAGCCGGCCCACGCTCAGACCCTACGTCCGGCCGACCAATGGACGACAAGGTCGTTTACCAGGCCTGTCCAATCGTATGTCAGCCAATCAGAGAGCGCCAGATGACCATCCTAGTCTGATCGCAAGGGCACCGAGGAGACAAATATGCAGTCGCAAGCACCAAATGCTCAGACAGCCTCGCGACGAACTGAGGCATAGGCCTTCGCATTGGACGATCAGGGCGTGGGTGGAGCTGACGCATTGTGACGGCTTGCGCCTTCACCACGTGATGCTGAAGTCCTTTAGGGCCTTTCGGCCCGGTTGCACCAGCCTTCCCTCAGCGCGCCCGTACTTTCGCTGCTTTGTCTGCCCCACTACACCTCTCTCTTCCTCTCTCGTATGCCCACTGGATCCGGTGGCGTCTCAACCACGCCTCTGTGCTCATCTCGGTCGCAGGTCAGTCCTATCACCAACCTGCTTAGGCTTCCTTCGATGGCTTACATTCATATCAAGTAGATCTTGAATACGAATATGATATCACATGAACAAAGAGTAATACTAATACTAATATATATTAATAGGTATAATAGAAATAATGCGGACAACGCGAATAACATGAAAAATATCAATAGCAGACGTCGGGTGTAAAATGAAGTACAAATTTGGTTCCTCAGCCGATCTGGAGGGGCCTAGATTGCATAGGCGGCATCGAAACAGCAGTTCACTCCGGATGAGAATGTCTTTTGCGGGCAAAGCTATACGAAATGTAATGTAATTGTGATAATAATAAAAAGACTAGGCTTTTCTCAATTTACGAGAAGGAAAGTTGGCTTCCGAGGAATCTCCGGTGAATCGAAGGGGATTGTCTCAGAAGCACTATTCAGGCGAGTGTCTCAGCAAAGCCAATCAGCAGTCAGTCAAGAGGGGTTCGCCTTCATCTTTTGGTGGGATCGACATTCAATTATTTTCACTAAATACTCTTAATAAAAATGGAAGCGAGCTTAACAATCCCTCACTTTATGCGACCTCAGGTGGTGAGTACTGATGAAACCACCACTAGCACGCTTTACTTAAATTCATATGAACGGGGATAATTAGAGGATAGCCGTTGATTGAGGTTGTTTAAATTGCCTAAGGGCCTAGCAGGCATGTTAGTTCGGAAGCTACCATGAGAAAGGATAATTTTCTGAGAGTTTTGACTACAGCATCGCTTGGGTACGCTCTTAGTACATCGTCCTGCCATCCCTGTGATTTCGATGATGAAGATTTGTATACTATATAAACCACATCGTCAGAATAGGAAAGCATGCCTTACGAAAAGTCATCAGCCTTAAGGCAGGAGAGGCGGCCGGCTACAAACGTTGCTATCTCTATATGCCTTTGATATATGTGAATGGCATGCAAAGTGCTCGTGAATGACACGTGAATTTGATGTGGTTGCGCCCTCAAATAAACCACTTTGAATTTGGCTCTCGCGATGTTGATGAATGGCAGTGCTCTCCATTGGACGTGTGTTGCCTGTATGCAACTCTCATGTGACATGCGATACACCAGCTTGCCAACCGGATTTCAAGCCAATTAATCATTCTTGGTCTCCCTAATCCTGTTCATGTGCCACAAGTGGTACCCATTAATTTCCTACACGCGATCTGTCCATTTTGGATGCAGGTTTTGTTTTTCCTGGAATCCCCAATCTTCCACTTTCCATTTACTTCCAATAACCCTCTCACAATACGATTACTCTCCCTTCCTGACCGTTAATTTTTGATCATATATATTGTATTTTCGTTAATCCGAAGATATGCCTAGCTCATAGGTCTAATAAGATTTGGCTCATTGAACAGTGCTCCTTTTATGGATTTTCTCTTCCAACGTGTGAAAGGTAATAATAATACTCTCGTTTATCCCGTATACGGGTAAAAATTTGACAAATTTACAGGACTGCTGAATTTCAAGCACCCTGATGGACACTGTAATCTCAAAGAATTACCAACTCCAATATCTACGAAATCTCTGAG